GACACATTTTTTTCAGGATTCTTTGATGAGTAGAAAGTTCAAAAGAACAGCATGTATTTGAAATGGAAATGTTTGGTAACAATGTGAAAGTCTTTACTTTCATTTTTGATCCATTTGATTAACCTTTTGAACGGTGGTGTCCATTTTATAAGCAGTGATCTTCATGGCTGAAATGGTTTAGTGATGAAACTGTGGTGTATTTTAAGAAATGTACCAGTGGCACTCAGATTTGTTTAGGCTTGTCTTCTTTTAGAACATTTCCTGCAGTTGGTACTTGGGCATGAGGAGGTCAAAGCCACAGGAAAACAGGAAGTACTGAGACCACGACAAGCTCAACTAACAGGAAGTGTACAGCTTTGAGCAGGAACCTTATTTGTGATCCGTAAGTTAATATTACAGCTCTCTCTTCCCATGATCCCTCTATCAATGTTCTGTTATTCTTGGCTTGATGAACAAATTCAAATGACTCAACTAGTTAAATTAATTTAGTTACTCTGTTGTCATATTCCAGAGAGGAGTTCAGAAGAGAAATCGCTGTAATAAGAGACAGGCAGCTGGAACCATATTTTGATTGGGGCGTTTTGGATAGAGGATCTTGGTGGGTTTATTTTGGATCTGGTAATCCTTTTTAAAGACTGTGTCAAAATAGAGCCTCAGAGATTTTTATTTTGCATTGTGTGCTCCTTTGGTTTTGGACTTGCCACACCTGCCAAAGCTAATCTAAACTCTGATCAGCAGGGGCAAGTTTCAGCCTGCCCCACTCATACTGATCTAGATTCAGCTCCAGGTGCCCAGATCATAATCAAAATGATGCTATGATGTCTACAAAACTGGTCTCAGGTCATAATAACAGAACATCAGGCTACCTGCTATTTTAGCCACACCTAAACCTAGTTCAAACAGTATGACTGTACTGAGCAAGAACAGTCAACTGTAGCAGTTCTAGAAGTAATGCAAAGTAAAATCACACTTTTGTTGACACTAGCCATTGGTTTTATTCTATTGTTTAAAGCACAGTGAAAAAAGTGCTTGCGAATGAGCTAATGGTGACCTTTAACCTTCCACAGAGTGCTTTGAATAGCCCTGTCAACCTCCATTCACTTCAACAAGACAAACTGCTTCCCATGGCAAGGTAAGAAAGCACAATGAAATATTACTTCACCTTACCCAGCAAGGGAGATCTGTGCTATATATCACATTTACTTTGCTCCTGTTAATATTTTTACAATTCATTTTACATGCTGACAATGGTAGGGCATGTTGTCACATTGTAATTTGTCAATAAACAGCCTTTGTCTTTTTAGACTGTTAAACGGTAAAACAATCGTTAAGCACAAAACGATTCATGAACGTGAATGAATTCATCGACAGCAAAAATATGAAACAATTTAGCAGGCAAATATTGAAATGAATTAATTATTAAATGTATTAAACATATATAAATAGACACTTAAAAAGGTGTAGAAACGATTTTCACTTAGAAATTGCTAGTAAATGTCACAATAATAAAGAAACAGCAAGTAATATGTACACAACTTATCTTTATTTACAACTTAGAAAAATAAATGTACAGTGTATATAATATTATGTATTATAATATTCATTTATATATATATATATACACACACACATTTGCATATATAGTGGGTATAAAATAAAAACATTTTGTTGCTTTGCAGCCTGAATTGAAGACAGACACAGTTTTTGTTTTATCCAGCTGTATTTAATCAGTGCAACTTACAACATCCAAGTGAATGATATAACACCAACATATCAGAAAAAAATAAATAAATAAATTTGAAAAACAGAATCACTGAGCTGGAAAAAGGAACACCCTCTTGTGTCAGTATTTTGCTGAATCACCTTTTGCTTTCATTACAGGCTTTAGTCTGTTGGGATGTGTCTCTCCTAAGGCTGCACATCTAGACTTTGCAATATTTGCCCACTCTTCTTTGCAGAACTGCTCAAGTTCAGTTCAATTTGATGGTGAGCGTTTGTGGACTGCAGTCTTCCAGTCATTCCACAGATTTTCAATGGGGTTTAAGTCTGGGCTCTGACTAGGCCATGCAAGGACATTCACCTTTTTCTCCTTCAAGCACTGTGTGCTCAGTTTTGCTGTGTGCTTTGGGTCATTGTCATGTTGGAAGGTAAACCTTCTTCTCATTGACAACTTTCTGGCAGAGGACGGCAGATTTTCCTCAAGAATTTGACGGTATTTTGCCCCGTCCATTTTTCCTTCTATCCTGACAAGTGCTCCAGTCCCTGCTGCAGAGAAACACCCCATAACAGGATATTACCACCTCCATGCTTTACTGGAGGAATGCTGTTATTTGGATGCTGAGCTGTATTGGATTTCCACCAGACATATTGTTTGGTGTTGAGGCCAAATAATTCAATTTTAGTCTCATCTGCCTCAGAATCTTCAAGGTGTGTTTTGGCAAAGCTCAGTCGTGTCTGCATGTGGCCTTTCTTGAGGAGTGGCTTTTTTCTTGCAACCCGCCCATACAAGCCACATGTGAGGAGAATTGGTGATGTTGTCACATGCACACAATGACCACTCTTTGTCATAAATTCCTGCAGCCGCTTCAGAGTTGCTGTAGGCCTCTTGGTCGCCTCTCTGACCGGTTTCCTCCCGGTTCTTTCATCCAGTGGAGCGATGTCCTGATCCAGGGGGAGGGTCTGTGCTGTACCATATACCTTCCACTTCTAAATAATAGACTTCACTGTGCTTCTAGGAATTACTAAAGCCTTTTAAATGTTTTGTATCCATCTCCTAACTTTATCCCGGAGATCTTTTGACAGTGCCTTGCTACCCATATTTGATTGTTTGCTTCTGTTGCACTACCAAGGACTGAAATGCTCCAGGAAAGCTCTTTTTATGCTGAGCTAATCAAAATGACCACAGATGATCACAGTTGAAAGTCAAATGGCTTTGTGTGCCATTGAGAAGGTGATTACTCATTTTTAGGAGGGGGTGATCCTTTTTTCAATTCAGTGATTCTGTTTTTTTTTCCTGATATGTTTGTTTTATATCTTTCACTTGGATGTTATAAGATGCAAATTGTAAATACAGCAAGTTGTAAATACAGCTGGATAAAACAAAATTTGTGTCCGTCTTCATTTCAGGCTGCAAAGCGACAAAATGTGATTATTTATTCCTAAATGATGATGATTCCGCTGTGTCTATTAAACCTTTGAAATTACAATCACATCGGAATATTTAAACGTGCTTTCGCGCAGTTGCTGATCCAGAGAGAGCAACGCTCATCATGTGGGCTAAGCTTTATCCTACAGTATGTTAGAAACAGCTTCACAAACAGTCAGTCTAGGCTACATTTCTGTGTTGCAAACATGAAATAATAACGAAAGTATTGGGATAAAATTTTATAGGCCGTATATAGAGTTTTTTTTACTAAATTAATTCATTTAACCCTTGTGCGACCTTTTGGACATTTTTGTCCTTTTCAGTTTTGTTTTGTTTTGATAATTTTGCCTGTGTTATTGCCAACTGCATACATTTTGGCACAGGTGTGTATTTTTATTGGAATTTTACTATTTCACTTCAATTTCCTTTAATAAATCTGCTTTGCACTAGGTACAAAAAATGGTTTCTCTCAGGACCTTAAGGACAAAAATGTCCCCATTGAATCCCATTTAAATTTTTAATCGCAGTGCCATTTAACTGTAAAATGATGCATTTTTTTGTTAATAGGCTTTCATTCTGTTGACAAGGCTTTAAAATTTTATTTTTTACCAGATGGTGCCATTTTTTCAGGTTTGACCTATAAAGAAAATCCTCGCTTTATATCTGTTTTCTGCTTCTGCATATTATAGAGCCAATTGGATAAATAATGCAGCTATAATTGTGTGGGTGTGTTGGTATGGATGTCAGAGTGTGCTTTGTATGTGTGTCATAAAATTTTTTTGTGTGTGTTCTTGTAATATTTGAGAGAGAAAAACTCTACTGCAAATCAAAAATCCAACCACTGTGTGCACCAGCAGAGTTTAGCTGTCATCTAATGGGGAAATTTTGGTACTGCACCCAAACAAAGTCTTACTGAAAGCTAATTTTTTGAGATCTCAACCTCACATTTGGAATACAACTTGTTTAGATGCATGGCTTTGATTTTCTAGCAGGTATAGAGTTCAACATGTTTCATAAAATATATATTTCATATAAAACATCGTTCATAAATCATTTTCATAAACCTAAACATCTAGAACTTTTTTTTTTGGGGTTTCACTTTTTAAACTTTTTTTTACTTCAACAATAATCTGCCATCGGTCGTCTTTAAAATGAGACCAAACTAAACTCTGTGCTCCCAAGCTTCAGATTTTTTGACATGGACATTTTTGTCCACTATGGACCTATGTGTAACTTTTTTTTAATTGACGCACAAGGGTTAAATTAATAAATATTTTTTAAATAGACTCATTATAACATTTTAGACATTTAGGCTATAAATAGACTCATTTTGTCAGAACCTCAAGTAAATTAGTCTATATTATATTGTTTGGTTGTCTAATGTTTTGTTTTCATAATCGTGAGAGAACCGTGATCTCTATTCTAAAAATCAATTAGGCCTATCCAGAGTCATAGCATAAAAAATATATAATATATCTGGCATCTAACTAATTGCCTACTATTAGCACTGTTTCTAATATTACAGTGCACAGACTATGATGTAAAATGCACAATTTTACAGACTTTATGTAGTACATTAACAAGGATTTGGTACAATAATAATGCCGCTTCTCATCCAGTGGCCCCCATTTCTTTAGGTCCTTTCCGGGATCCATATCTACAATATAAATGTAAAGGGACAAATAAGGCTATACTTCTTAATATAACATTGGATCAATACATTGACTATATAGCTAAATTGGTGACCCAGCCATTCTAAGGGGGTGTAGGACGTGTCGGTTCAACTCAAGTGGTTGGTTGTGTTTCCTCTGATCTGTCTGCGCTTATCTTCTGCAGCCTTCACTTTGACATTTGGAGCATGAGTGAACGAGGCGGCGGCGCGGGGCGGCCATCCCTGAAACATCGGGGATAGGCGAAGTGACACAGCAATTCCCCCGATGTATTTTTAATTCATCAGTCTCTTCTGTGAGGAATTGTCTAATATAAGTGCAGTCATGACATCGGTTTGGAAGAGACTTCAGCGCGCTGGCAAAAGAGCGTCGAAGTTTCAGTTTGCCGCGTCCTTTCAAGAACTCACCGTAGAGTGCACTAAGAAATGGTAAGAAATGCGATTTCTCTTTTCGTTGCCACATGTTGTTGTTATACACTATCATATAGGTTTATCGTTTCTCTTAAGTTTGACGTATCTGCAGTAACACCAGTGACCAGTGGCGACGCGACGCTATAAAATCAGAACGCTGTTCGCTCCCCATTCTAAACACCGAAGCTCTTGTGAGGTTGCAGGGTAGTGATGGTGTAGTTTACTGCCAGTGTGTTGTGGTTCTTTATAGTTCAAGAACGGATTATGCTGGCTTGTTTACACAGGCCAGCACATTTCTGTTTGTAGTAGTGAGTTTTGTTATTGGTACCTCCGCTTATACTTCAATTTTACTTTCAGTTCCCCCTAACAATGTCATCTTAATGGTTCCACTTGAAGCACATCTTCATGGACACTTGTATTAGCAGCTACAGATCAACTTCATTAGGCACTTTTTATGTGAGACGCTTTAACGCTGATGGGAGTGTCTTACAAATGTTGATATACAAAGTTACTACACTCTAAGAAATGCTGGGTTAAATATAACCCAGCGCAGGGTTAAAAAGGGACAAACCCTGGGTTTGTCCCTTTTTAACCCAGCGCTGGGTTATATTTAACCCAGCATTTTTTAGAGTGTAAGCATGGCCATTTATTTCCATGCAATCATGCACATAGTCTTTTATTATATGTATTTCACCATTTCAAAAATATCTGAGTTGGGTCAAATTTGCTAGCGTTTATCTAGATTGCAGCTCTGCACTCATTTTCTAAAGTGCTTGAGGTGCTATCTGCACTCTAAAAAATGCTGGGTTAAATACAACCCAGTGCTGGGTAAAATAGGGACAAACCCAGCAATTGGGTTGTTTTGACCCAGCGGTTTGGTTAAATGTTTAACCCAACCTTCTGGGTAGTAACCCAACCGCTGGGTCAAAACAACCCAATTGCTGGGTTTGTCTCTATTTTACCCAGCACTGGGTTGTATTTAACCCAGCATTTTTTAGAGTGTGGGATGCTTTTATTGAAGGAGTGCTTTTTGAGCCACTTGTTGCTTGTTTTTTTTTTCCTTTTATTTGACTGCCCAGCTCGTTCATTAAGCACAGTTTATTTTTGTATACAAAACTAAATTCTAACGTGGAAGCATTTCGATTAAAAGATTTTTAAGATCACAAGAAACATTCAGAAAACGTCAGTCAGGTGTGCCAGACTTTGTATTCGCAATGGGGCAAGTCCAGACAGACCTTCCATTAGACGCACACATGTAAGGAGAGTTCTGGTGTCCTTTATTTGCTTAGTTATAGTTATTAGTTGAGTGCAGTCATCTAAATCTGAAATACTGTCTTTTCAATGCAGTTATCTCAATAATCCCTTTTAACAAATAAATGCTCCTGCATTGTAGGCAAACTTAAAAATGTATTATTTTCCTGACAAACAACATCATAATGTGCATTAACATCATGTGACATTGGATTTTTGTAATCAATATTCCATCAAAACAATGTTAGTAGAAGGAAAAGAAGGATTCATACTCTTTTGACTTTATCATAGAGTCAGTGTTAAGAGAAACATGGCTAGCTCCGAAGAATTTGTGGTATGTGGAATGGCTGGAATGATTAAAGATGTTTGTTTTTTTGTTCTTTTTTTTATTTGTGTATTTATTGATTTATTTTTGAAAACTAGGCATCGAGCCTAAAAAGCAGACAGATGGTGTAGACATGCCTTTATTATTGGCTGAAACATGTTCACTTTGAGACACTACATGGTTAGCCTTTTATTGTTTAAAAGTTAAGAGTTGGTAAGATTTGGTTTTTGAACTCTCTTGCTCACCAAGGCTGCATTTATTGAATCGAAAATACAATAAAAACAATAATGTTGTGAAATAGTATTGCAATTTAAAATACCTGTTTTGTATTTTTATATATTTTAATGTGTCATTTATTCCTGTGCTAGCTGAATTTTCAGCATCATTCCTCCAGTCTTCAGTGTCACATGATCCTTCAGAAATCATTCTAATACTGCTTAGAAATATTTATTATCATCAATGTTTAAAACAGTTGTGCCACTAACATTTTTTGTGTGGAAACCATGACACACTTTTTCAGAATTGTTTGATGAATAGAAAGGTCAAAAGAACAGCATTTATTTGAAACAGAATTCTTTTGTAAAATTATAAATGTATGTACAGTTACTTTTGATTACTTTAATGCATCCACCCTGAATACAAGTATTAGTTTCTTTCAAAAAATATTACTGACCCCAAACCTTTGAACAGTAGTGCATTTCATGATGGAACATTCAGTAATATTAGCTGATGCTGCGATGATGTCATCTGACTTCTGTGGTCTCTGCAGCCCTCTGTGGTCCCTTAAGAGTGTGTCTTGTGTAGTCACATGACTTCACAATGTCTGACCTCAGAACAACTGGTTGATTCTATCAGTTAAATGACTATGCTAATTCTTGAATGTGAAATGTGGTCATTGTTACAAGACAAGAATCTCTGATCGTAGTGTTTTAACTGGGTTATTATTTTACATATCATTTAAAAAAAGAATATGTGTAACGTTTTAACAAGTAACAAGTTTAAACATTGCACCATCCAGTACCTCAAATCTAAATAGTTGTTTGTGGGCATACAACTTGATTCCCTTCTTATGCAGTTTAATAGATGTAGCACTGTGCTTGAGCCGCTTTATATCAATGCGTGTGCCATTTCCAAGTCTATTTCTGTGAACCCCATGGCTCGCTTGGCCTCTTGCATCCATTCACACAGCTGCTGCTGATACTGACCTGCAATACGAGACCCAGAGGCCCACGATTCTCTATCTCCACCTTTCCTTTTCTTTATTATGACTTCAAATGCCACGTTAGCATGCATAGACATAATCTACTGCCAGTGCCATCATTTGGTTTTTCATCAGTTTGAGGAAATTATTTTATAGAAGCACTTCATGTCCCATTTATTTGACTGATCAGCACTTTTCCAGGTGTACTATTGAGTGATAGATGTTACAGGTGGGTTGCATGGGATGCCTGGAAAGGCAAAGCCATGTAGCTTATATCCCAATATTAAAGGAACGACCTGCATGATATGAGAGTTGCATAATTGCATAGTCATCTACACATATAAATAGTGTATGGTTGGTCATAGCTTGCACTTTAGTGTTATTTCACAGTTGATTGTGAAATTTACGGTAAGAAATGGCAGCTGTGGTTGCCAGAAATGCCACAAATATGGAAGTAACGTTTTAGGTTTTACTGATTGAACTTAAATATGCAGTATAAACAATGTATATTTCATTAACAATGATACATGATTCACAATGATTCATGACACAGTGTTAAAATACCAGCTTACTGAATTACTAAAATCTGTTTTGTACCTTTATAATACACTGACAACCATCACAAAACACAGATGGTAATGAGAAAGCCACATGTAGAATATAGTAGTTTAGTAAGGGAACTTACCATTAACCAATCAACAGGTTTTTCTGTAGCATTTTACGGTCTTTTACCATTAAAATTATGAACTTTTTTAGTAGTGCAGACATTTTCACTTTTGTATATGTTCAAAACAAGCATTGAAGCATTGCTGTTGAGATTTAGCATAAAGGTAATTGGCAAAAAAACTAAACAAAACAGAAAAAGTGGTTAGAAATGAGACATTTGAACCAAAATCACTTCCATGAGGAAGTGGCATAGTGTGTTAAACAGCTGATCTGATAATGTTATTGTAAGGAGAGTCCACACCCTCCATTGAGGGAAGAGAGATCAGTTTGATGTAGACACACTGGGGAAAAGTAGAGCAAGTTTCAGGTTATATTTCCCACAACCACATTTAAGGGCAACCCTCCTCACACCTCTCTCTGTCAATACTCAGTCACTTTAGCTTACAATTAACTTGCACTTCTTTTTTTTAAAAAGGTAATATTTTTATTGTTTATATAAGGTAATATATTTACTGTTATTATTATAATAATTTTTTTTGGCAACCCTCCTCACACCTCTCTCTGTCAATACTCAGTCACTTTAGCTTACAATTAACTTGCACTTCTTTTTTTAAAAAGGTAATATTTTTATTGTTTATATAAGGTAATATATTTACTGTTATTATTATAATAATTTTTTTAAAACCTGAGGTCCATTTATGATAGCAGTAAGTTTTTTTTCATCCTTTATTCAATTCAAGATTATTCAATTCAACGTTGCAAAGCAACTTTTCAGAAAATTAAGTTTCTACACTATTTAGTAGTAGCTTATCAGTGGTGACTGTCAGTTAATGTACATGCTAAATGTATTTATGCAAAATGTATGCATCAGTAATTGTGCAAAAATAATTTCACTGATTTTAAATATACAGAATATATGTTATTGGCATTTAAATGTGGGTGGTCAAGGATTCGTCTGTCTGATGTCTGAAAGTTGTGTAAGTGTGTAGAATGAATCCTTCTTTAACAATCCTACAATGTGATTTTCTGGATTTTTTTTTCTCATTTTGTTTTTCATAGTTGAGGTATACCTATGATGAAAATTACAGGCCTCTCTCATCTTTTTAAGTGGGAGAACTTGCACAATTGGTGGCTGACTAAATACTTTTTTGCCCCACTGTATGTTATTGGCATTTAAATGTGGGTGGTCAAGGATTCGTCTGTCTGATGTCTGAAAGTTGTGTAAGTGTGTAGAATGAATCCTGTTTGTAGCCTTGGTTCAATAAAACAATCTCTTTTTGGTAGGGATGTAATGATTCACTCAACTCACGATTCGATTCGATTCATGATTTTTTTTAACAAAATGAGATTTAAGACAAATGATCAATTAAATGTTATTATTGCTTGGACAAAATACTGTACGTTTCTTTGTGAAATTGAAATATAACACTATAATAATATACTAATATAGCACTTGTAGCACAGAATGCTTTGAATTCAGTTTTGTGAAACTATGGATAAAAAAATATCCGCATGAAACACAAACAGCAGACGAGCTGAATGAGACGCAGATTCACTCTCTGCCAGCAGGTGGCGCTTAAAGCGTTTTCTTGGTTTCCGCTGTAAACAAAGCAGCGCTGCACTTATGAACTTTAATATGCATTATACAGAGGAAAGATGAAAAGAAAAAATACCATCGATAGACAGTTCCCCTCATACATGGATTCATATAATGAACCTAATTGAATCGCGATTTGTTTAGCATCTCAACCGATTTGAATCGTCACATATTTAAATCGATTTTCAACTGGCTCGCGGTTAATCGTTACATCCCTACTTTTTGGACTTGGCAGTTTTGAGATGAAAATTACAGCATGTTTTCATAGTACAGGGAACTCTTTTATCTCAAATGATTTCTCATGTTAGCATGGACATATTTTAAGATATGTCACATGTGTTGGATATTGGCCTGACCTGTCATGGTGCGTCTCTGTTACTTTTTTTTTAAATAGCAGAAACATATTTTGTTCTGCAACTGCTCACATTATGCAAAATGCTAGCCTGTTAGAACAGGAACAAATAATTTGAACTTGATCTTAAAGAAGCTCCAGCATTCCACGCAATAAAGCCAGCTAATGTTTTCCTGTATGTGGGTCAGATGAGTAACCTAATAACCAAACTGAGTGCGCAGGATAGTAGTCCCTTTCTTCATGCTGATGGAGACTAACCTCCTTAAAGCAATACCCTAGGGAATTTTAGGTGTATGATTGAAAATCTTCGTTATATTTTCACTGTTTGAGTCATTTTAAATGTCAGTTCTTTGTGAAGAGCAATACAGCTTCGTCCATTGTTCCATGCTCACTAAACAAACTGAACGATAGTGTATTATATGTACTCTCAGTGATGAACAGGAGCTATGATGTTTCTGCTTTGTTACATGTTATTGTGTGTTATTTGTCATTCACAGGCAGCCAGACAAACTGCGAGTGGTTTGGACCAGACGAAACAGACGCATCTGCAGCAAGGTAGAAGGAGGATGTGGGCTTTTAGAGTTACTGTTTCCACGTTTATAGTTTTCAAGTGCTATATAAAGATGTGGCTGTGGTTACTGTACCTTGACATTTATTCAACTGGAATAGTAAAGCTAGAGCACAACTGTAAGTGCAGAACAGTACATGTTTGTTTTTCTCGTTTAAGATTACGATTGGATAGCATTTTGCTAGTAAAGTCAGGACATGTTCTCTAAATTTAATCTTTAAAAAATTTTTACAGAGGAGGACAATAAATATCAGCATATTAGTGTCATTAGTAACCACGCAGAAAATGTTTGCAAAGCAGAAAGAACAAGTACTTCCTCCTAGCACATAAATCAATTGGTGGCACTGATTGGTGATGCAATAATAATTTCAACACACAAATACAGTGGGATGATTCATTAATATAGATGAACCCTAATCCTTTTATACCTTATTATTAGTGATTTTTTTTTTCATTGTGTAAACATCAGATATGTTTATCTGACTGGGTATCAGCAGCTGTGTTAATAGCAGTATTCTCATTGTCTTGATCAGCTTCATTGCTGGCAGCCAGGTATCAAGAACCCATACAGGGGGACTGTGGTTTGGCAGGCTCCTGAGAGCGTGGACATCTCTGTCACTCTTTTCAAGGTGAATATATGATATAAAAAGAATTCCATAAACGCTACCATTTAAAAGTTTGCGTAAGATTATTAGTATTATTTTTAAAGAAATTAATAGTTTTATTCCGCAATGATTTAATTGATTCAATCTTTTATATTGTTAAAAAAAAATCAATTTGTTACCAGAAATTTCTGTTTCAAATAAATTATGTTCTTTTTAACTTTCTATTGATAAGACAATCCTGAAAAAAAAGTTCATATTTTTCACAAAAAGTTTAAGCAGCACAACTGTTTTCACCATTAGGCACCAAATCAGCATATTAGAATTGTTTCTGAAGGATCATGTGACATTGAAGACTGGGGTAATTTTGCGTCACAGGAATAAATTACATTTTAAAATATATTAATATGGAAAACAGTTATTTTAAATTGTAATAATATTTCATAATATTACTGTGTTTTTGAAAAAAATAAATGCAGCCTTGGCAAACTTATAAAGACTTCTTTCAAAAACATAAATCCCTAAACTTTTGACCGGTAGGAAATTGAGATCATTTGTGCAGTGGTGCTTAAATATGCAAATTATAAACGAATAAAAGTTGTAAACATGAATTTTGTCATTATGTTATATAAATATTATTTAAATGCCCTATAATCCACGTCCACATAATCAGCAATATTTGCTTTCCCTTTAGGATCCAAATGCAGATGAATTTGAGGACAAAGACTGGACCTTCATCATAGAAAATGTGAGTCTTTCTACTCTGTAATCTCACCCTGTTTATTAAAGGTGCTGCTAGCAATTTTAGCTCAACCACAAAAGCATTTCTGTTTTGGTTAAAAAAGTGTGGGCCACTCCCTGACTCTTTTTCTCTGTTTAATAAACTGAGGGCTGTGACAGAAACGGGTCAGGAGGATGTAGGAACATTTTACGTGTGTTTCTCTTTTGCAATATTTTGTTATCAAAAGCAATTTTGAAAAAGCATGTCTTGAATTATGTTGTGATGGCTTCATCGATTTGGCAGTACGCTGCGGTTTGAAAGTACTGTGCTCTAACCCCATCTCATCCCAACAGGAAACAAAGGGCCACCGAAAAGCTTTAGCGTCAGTGGATGTGAACATGAAGAAGTACGCGAGCGCGACCCCGACTCAGTTTGACCTGGCACTTACACTAAAGCCTCTGTCTGTGAAAGTGTTGGATGCCACACTTAAATTCACCCTGTCCTGTGTCTTCCTGAAGGAAGGCAAAGCTACGTGAGTTCGGATGACTTCAACATTCCACTAGGAAGATGTGTTTCTCTAGATCTGTGTAATGATGTAAAAGCATCAGTCAAAGCAGACGACACATACAGTGTGAACTACATTTTATTAACTATACTGATCTATAGTTTTAGTAGGCCTTCAATTATTTTACTGTATTCTGTGTTGTGTATTCAGTGATGAAGACATGCAAAGTCTGGCGAGTCTGATGAGTTTGAAGCAGTCTGACATTGGAAACCTGGAGGACTTCAATGACAGCGATGAAGAGGAGGACAAAAGAATGTGTGCAGCAGTGAAAATGGCCACAGCAGTAATAGGTAATACTGACATACACTCACAGTCTTAAGTACACATACTATAAACCTTGACGCTGAAACCAGAAGTTTGGAAACAAGTTTAGAAACAGGCATTTCCTGTTCTGAAAAGGATATTTGCAGTTTTTTTCTGTTGTGTTGTTTCCTGGTTTTATGAAACTTGGTGGTGATGTAGATAACCTGGTGGTTGTTTGCTGATTTTAGTGGTTTGGTTGTATTGAGTTGATTTAATGTTTGCCAGTTAATGCTGTATTACAGCTGTAAAGGTAGCTTACATGAGGTTGGCCACGACAAACACAGAATCTGGAAATATTATCTCTCTTTCACGTTGTAGAATTCTCTTTTCTCAAACAGTCTCTTTCTTTTTCATTCTTTGTCTGTCGCCCTGTTCTTTCTGTCTGTGGTCAGCTCCTCTTCCTCCAGCTAGGAGAATACACGACAAGGCTTGGAGACCTGCTGTAGACACAGGTCCCTCTGACACAGGTAGATTACTGACTGCTCTGGCTTATTTTTCCACTCTCTTTCTTCCCTTTACACTGGAATTAACATTTTGTTTTTTTGGCATGATAATATTCAAATAAAGTACTATGGGGTGTTACAGTTTTCTACTGCTCAATTTGTATCATGACTGTTTCAGGTTGGTAAATACTTGCATCACAACTGGGCAGCACTGATTAAGAAATCTGAAGCTTGATAGTGCTAACTGAAAATTTGACACTGTGATTGGCTGATATTTATTCATTTGCATTGTTTGTTTTTCAATGAGCCCCTTTATTAAGTCTTATGCTATAGCAAAATGCACCAATGTATAAATAATGCACTTGGACAATTTAGTTCAGTAACATTTAATGAGTATGATTATATTAATTTATCTATTATTGTATATTCTAAATTTACATATACATATATATGTATATGCATTAAGATTTTTCTTTGCATTCTTCTTTATATACATTATTAAATTATTTATATAGAATTTATATAAAAACAAACAAGCACACACATGTATACACACAAACATAAAATTTGTACAAAAATATTTTATATAAATATTAAATATAAAAAAAAATAAATGTATAAAATAATACAATCAATATTTAAATTTATACACGCACATACAAATATACATATTTATTGTATTTTTTTAAATATATTTCTTATTGTGTATATTTTATATTTATATTATTTTATACATGAACCATGGGTATTTTTGTACAGATTTGGTGTTTGTACTGGCACCATTTCACCCCTGTAAATATTATTATTATTGTTATTATACACTCAAGTGTAAATTACTTTAGTTGTGCAAATTGAACATAATGTTACCACTTAAACTTGTGGAAACGTCTAAAAGTCAAAACCAGAAATGTAGTAGTAGCGATCATGAATATCACAAAAACAATTTCAAACTGAATATATAATTGTGTCATGTCGTATCATATACTAGAATTAAGGTTATCAGAAGTAATGCACTTTCTAACTCGGGTTGCTACACTGTATTTGGATAGACTGGTTTCTTTGGCCTGTTTTGAATCTGTAAGAAAGTGGGTGAAATTGCATAATGCATTCCCATGACCTCAGCATACCAGTGGTCATAAGTTTGTGTGTGTGAGAGTTTATCTGAGATCTGCATCTCTTCCTGGTGTCACTCATTTTCTTCTCTTCTGAATCATTCCCTGCTCATTTGAGTTCCTCTTTGTCTCTCTGCATTTGTTGTCTGCTACCTCTCAACTCTTAACTTCCTCTGTTTTTGTCTGTCCTTCTCCATAATCATCATCATTTCTCTCAGCTCATTCTGAACCGGAGCGGATGAGCTGTTCCTTCATTACGCCTAATGTTCCTCTCCAGTACCGCCCCCTGTCATACAGCGCTCTTGACCCTTCTGCCCCGCCCCTCTCCACTTCCTGTATCCAACCCCCCCGTGCTGCTGGCAGTGTCCCGCAGACACGCCCCTCCCCGTACGCCTTCACTGTACCTGCATTTACACGTGCGCATCCACCTGCCCTGCCCAAAATCTTCCAGCCGCCGACCGGCTCAGGTACAAACACTCATCCACCCGGTGCAATGCAGCAGATCACCACAGAGTTGTGCTTGTCTCCATCCGCTGCACTGTGTACATGTCCATACCTCATAGATCATCCACAAATTCACTCTTCTGTGGTATTACTTACAGTACATGTTTTTGTCATTTATGTTTTTAATAAGTTTTGGTGTGTTTTAAAGGTGTCTAAAAGTTAAAACAATAATAAATTCATGCACTACTAAAAAAGTTTTTTTTTTTTTTT